ACACACAGACACACAGACACACAGACACACAGACACACAGACACACAGACACACATACACACAGACACACACACACACACAAACAAACACACACACACATGCATACACGCACTCATACAGTCGAGTGTGTGCATGTCCGCGTTACGCATGTGAACGTATGTAGGCAGGTGCGCATGGGTGGGTGCTGCGGAGTTGCACCGCAGTTGCACCGCCACTCGAGGACGTGGCGGTCCAGCCCTCGAATTCCGCGGAAGCCAGGCCCCTGAGTCGCAGATCCGCTTTCGTTCGCTGAAGCTGCTGCTCCCTTGTCCCCTGAGAGCTCGGACTGCAAGAGGTCCTTCTGCCTCGGAGAGAAAACGAGCGCAGGACAAGGAATCTCATTCTCGTACACAGATAGCAGAAGCCAAGGTGCTCATCTGACGCCTCTTCTTCCTCTGCCCACTCCTGGAACTATGGCTATGGGCAGGCTGGCGACGTCTTGGGCGCATCTGGCTTGAGGTCCCGTTTGGAACTTTGCCGGTTACTTCCCATTGAAACGCAACGAAATGTACACGCCCGCAAGCGGAGTGCGGATCCTAACTACCGGGGTGCATCAAAAAGCTTTATACGCCGGAAAACAAGTCTGGTGATCTGAAGCTGCCTTCTCCGGCACAGCTGGCACTGCTTTCCAGCGACGGTTGCAACACATATTGCACAGCGCCCCCCTTGAAGCATCCTTGTTGATGATGCCTTTGAGTTGAACAGGCTCCCCTCACTTGACGACTTTGAGTTCACACGAAAGCCGTTCCGAGGGTGACGAGATTCGCACCCATTTCAAACTATCCACTTGCCACAAAAGGCTTCAAGCAGCACGTAGAAGATCAGACGGACCCACGACAGTGCATGAAAGGTAGCTGCTCAAACAACGCGCCGATCCATCATTGCTGATCGCCAAGGACTGAAGACGGAGAGTCACATAGGGCGAGTCACCTCCCTGCTCGACGCGGATGGGGCCCGGCCTTCAGGAAGTCTGCTGCCGTCTTCTTTGGCATGACCCAGCAACAGTACCTCGCATTCTTCAAAGCTCTGATCTTTTGTCCTCTGTCCAGAAAAGGCGCTGTTGCAGGCCAAGGCACACGGACTCCTCCACGGGCTTCTTGCGCTCCAGCTCCTCCTCTTCATCCTGGAGCACGACCATCTTAGTCTAGTTACTCTAGTTCTTCGGCAGCATCAAGCCCTCCCCACCCGACCTCATCGCCCTCCTCACCCCAACCGGGTGCGAACCACGGCGCGCCACCCTGGCTTCATAGAGAAAGAAGAAAAAAGCCGTGCAAACTTGCCCCATGCTTTCGAGAGTCTCTACCATCTGTAAGCAGCAGGCCGAAGACCGGTTGGACAAAAAAATCTTACATCTGAGCTTCTGTCCACCATGCCTGGGTCTTGCCCTTCGTTCTGGTGCGCTTATTGACGTCTTCCCAGGGGTTGTCACCTTGGAAAGCCATCAAGACTTAGAGGCATCCATCAAGTAGGACGTCAGTATGTTGCAGGTGTCTGCACGACGCCGGCTCATGACACCTGATAGTCAGGCGAGGCTTTCCGAGTGCCGTACTTAATGCGGACCGAACGACGCGAGCACACCTGGACGGGAGAAGTTTTGAGCCGGCATTGCCCGTGAACTTCTCCTCACTGCTTGCCTGGTACGTCGAGTCGCAGCTGACAGAGCTGCTGCAGCAGCCACACAAGGCCCTGCACGTGGCTTCGGGGATTGGTCATGGAGCCGGCGAGCCCCTTGGCCGGTGCAGCTTGCGAGGCCTGCGAGGCCTGCGAGGCCTTGCCAACGCCCAGTGCTGTGTCTGGGTAAGCCTGTCCAGAAGTGACAAGGCAAGCGAATACCGATTTGCGTGCTGCTGGTTTGAAGAGACGAAGAACGAAACCCTGAAGACGCGAGATGAGGTGAGGGCCTGGAGCTGACGTTGCAGGAACGACGGGCGATGCGCCCGGCAGAACAAACCTCAGCGAAGGAATGGTGTTCCAAGCACAATTTCCGCGCCCGGAGTGACCAACGCCAAGATGTTCAGGTGAGGAGAGTACAACTCCCAGTGGCTGTTGGCAGCAGCAGTTCACCCAAGCGATGGAAACGTGACAGTTCCGACCTAAAGATCTTTCTAGGGGGCCGAGAGACGAAGCGGCTTCCATCACGAGCTACTTCGAGCCGAGGTCGCTCTCTGCGCTGCACAGCTTTTCGTTGCTCAGTGTCGGGTTGGACAGGTACTAGTAAGTAGTAGCTGCTGTCGGCCTCATTGCTGGCAAAGAGTTGTGTGAGGATCCTGATGTCTCTTGCTCTGCGGATGACCACAGTTCTCATTCTGAACCAAGCGGCCTTTGCAGGAGCAGGTGCTATACGTTCATATTCTTCGCATGGGTACGGTCATAAATTCATTTTCATGAGTCTTCATGATCTCCGTCACCGGCATCACGAGCATCATGAGGCTTATTCATGTCATATCAGGCGTCGGATCAATGTTGCTCTGACATGTCCTCTTCGTCTTCTCGCTACTGCTCTGCCTGTAAAACCGCATCTTCTGATTAGAGCGACTCCGGACACCTTTTGCTTGGATGCCAGTCGATCATCTGGCAGCACAACCTCCAGAAAGAAAGAAGAGGAAGGCATTGTTTTGCTTTCGGATTTATGACTCAGTGCTTTGCGGTCCCGTCGTGTCACAGGCTTGGGCGTCGTCAATCGTGAATGTTAACTTTTCAACTTTCCACGCCTACTCTTACCGATTTGGTACAGGACTTGGGGGTTTCAACCAGCTGTTCCGGAGCGACCCGCTGCCTCTCGGGCTCTACAGAGCCGCAGCCGCCGAAGCCAGCTCCTTGCGCAGAAATGCTTGAAGACCCCTGTGCTAAAGGTCTCAAGTCACTCCGGGCCTCAAGGTACACCGCGCTGGAGAGCCGGAGGGTGCTAGCCTGGCACTGCCAAAGGCGGAAGGCTCCGTGAGCAGGAACTCAAGCCCGAATCCTTTTGTCCGCCTCAAAGTTAGCGTCTGCAACAGCTCGGATCTGGAGGAAGCCTTGTACGTGTGCTCTCTTCACCGGCAACTCTGTGTTCCCTTCCCTCTTCTGCAGAATGTTGGGGTGTGGACGCCGGCAGCACCTCCCAGCCCTCGAAATACGGCAAGCGCCTGAGAACCAAGCATGCTCCAGATCGCAGCTCCAAAGTCGAAATTGCATAGATAAGTGCGAGTAAAGCTCACGAGAGACAGATGCAAGACTGTCAGAGGCTTCACTTCATGCAGAAGCAAACCCTCCGCTGCTACAGCCCTTTGCAAGGTGTGCACGGCAGTTGCCAGCAAAGAGCTCCGCAGAAGCCTCCAAATCACGTCCCTACGAAGGGAGCTTCATGAATCAGCTGCAATCTGTCAAGTGAGTGTGCCTCTCTTCGTCCAGAGCCTCATTGACCTACAGGAAGCGTGACGGGACTGCGAGTGTAGCGAAGAGCTCACCAAGGGTTGAGCACTCAGGCTCACAATGATAATACTCCAATATGCACGCCCATGTCAGCATCAACGTGCATGCTCTGGTCACGACTAACCATCTTGCGCGAAGCAGCTTGTTCCCAGCCCAAAGCATTAAGCCGTTGTCAAACTTGAACACATCTCGAGTGGCCTCAACAATTTCTGCACTCCGGCGTCGAGCACCTTGGCGTCCCTGGTCTGAGGTTGCCTGGGGCCACATTTCGTGAGGCTCCTAGAGTGGCGGCTTGCAGGGAGGCTTCCCGAGTCTTCCAAAGATGTCTCGTGTGCCACGGGCCAGGGCTGCTGCGTGCGACAACTTCCGCCACCTTCGATGTTGAAAGCTTGGAAATCGACGGCTCGGGAACTGCAAGTGCCAATGCTTCAGCGCATCGTTCATTCTCCGAAGCCCCTGGTGTTCGAGTGCAGAACCTCTCAACCCTCTGAGCGCTTTTTTGAGGAGCTCGTGCCGGTCACAACTTCGCCGATTGCTGGGCCTGACAAAACGTGTGCCTCTTGTCTCCCTGCCAGGACCCTTGCGACAGGTGCACTGAGGCCAGCACGGACGGTGTCTGCACAAGGAGGGGCCACCGAATGAGGAAAGACCTGCATGCCACTTTCACCCAAACGTCGGTGTGGTTTCCAGATTCTGGCCTCCATGGTCCAAGTTGCGGAGGGCTGCCGAGGTTGGTCGGGCGATAGAAGTAGTGCCTTTGCATTCACTGCTTGCTTTTGCCACGCTCAAGCCTGACGAGGAAAGGCCTTACAGGAAAGGTCAGATGGAGTAGACTGGGTTGAGGCATGGTGCGTCTGCCGCTTGACGCCATCGCACCTGGGAGGGTTTGCAAGAAATCTGCCAACCCTGTGATTCCAGATTGTTCGATGCAGGCAAGGCGCACAAGTATCCTTTGAGACACGGTACCGAAGGTCTCCAAATCTGGGCGCCAGGGGCAAAAGGGACCCGAGTGCAGCTTCTCCTCCAGGAAAGATCGAAGCTCTGCAGTAAGGTGCAAGAATCGTGCTTTGGAGCTTTGCTGCACACTGCGCTGATCGACATTTTCGTCCTCCACGGCTTCGGGAAACCACTTTGGAAGCCTGCGTAACGTCAAACAGTCGAGCTTTAACGTCACAGCACGCGCGGGGTGCGCGGGGAAGCTTCGAATGGCCTGGACGGTACCTGCCAGCAGCCGAGTAGAAAGGAGAGCATTTTTCTGCACAGCACCCCGCTTCGACATGGCGGCCCGGTCCTTCAGTTCTGGAACATCAGACCGTGACATGATCTCGGCCTGCAGCTTCCGAGCTGCACTTCGTGAAACAGGCTTTGGCGGTTTTGGGGTAGTCTTCTCGGGGTCTGGCCAATCCGGCGTGAACTTGGCTCACCAGCTCGCTTGCATCGCTCGCCTTCTCGCCTGGTTCGCTGCATCCCATATCCATGGACTCCACGACTGCCGGGACCTCGTCTTCTCAGCTGCTCCAGGAAGTCCTCCACCGCGCGACGAAGCCAAAGGCACTTTGGCCAGGCTTCGCCTCTCAGAGCGCAGAGCACAACTCAGTGCAGCTCAGAGGCCGCTCAGAGCGGTCCGGTCCCGCCCCATTAAGCACCGTTGAAAGAAGACGAGCCGCAACCCCCCTGCGCCTGCCGGAGTTTCGTTCGAGACGACGAAGACTCCGCCTGCGAGGCTTCAGGATGATGCGCAACACGCGATGCGCCTCGCCAGTGATCAGAGTACCCCAAGACCCGTTCAGCCAAGACACGCTCCAGAATCCTGTGGCCAGCAGACCATTTGGAGGACGCCTCAGAAAAAGCAAAAGCAACTCTCACCCGGACTGCCTCTGTGCAGAAAAGAACACACTTGGCTTTGTTGCAAAGCTTTGGTCAATTGATGTGTCTTGGTCGGCCTGTTCACCGGTGTCTGGCGGCGCACTCCAGAAGTAGTGGATCTCCGGCGCATCGCAGAAGATGTGGCCAGCCAAAGCGTGAAAAGGGTCAATCTGGTCAGGGCAAGTTTCTTAACACGTGTAAGGACATCAACAATGTCGTCATCACCATCACTATCAACGTCGCAAATGTCAACCCCATCGCCCAGCACCATGGGCATCAACGGCGTTACTACTATCCGTGTTGCTGTCCGTAAGAATCGTTATCATATTCACCACCCGCAGCCGCAGCAACATCATCACCATCAGCAGCATCACCATCATCATCAGCAGCAGCATCACCGTCAGCATCATAAACCTCGTCGTCCTCCTCACCTTCGCCCACACCAGTGCGATCGCCCCCATCCTCGAGTTGAAAGAAGGAAGGTGCGCATGCCAAGCACTGCCGCAGCACTCGCATCACGCATAACTCACTATCACCCTCGGGAGAGGGGCGTCAGCCATAGCCTCCTCCTCCTCCTCCTCATCATCATCATCAACAACAACATTTATCGAGACTACTACTGCTGCCCAAGCTGTTGTTGTAGTTGTCGTCGTCGTCGTGGTTGTTGTTGGAGCTGGCTGAACAACCCATGTTTCTTCCATGGTCTGCAGTGGGAACTGCTGTCTTCTTGTGGGTCTTCTCTGGACTAGGAGGGTAGAGACAAAATCGGGTTCCCTGGTGTTGTTCTGGAGTGGGGGTTGTTGCCTGCTGTGCTTGTCTGTAAACACTGCGCTTCGGTGCTGGAAAAAGGGCTCAGGTTCCCAAAGTGGGGGGGCTTCCGCTCAAAACCTCAAAACGAATGCGCGCGCGAAACGCCTAGAGGACTCCGTAGAATTTCCAGCTTGTCTGTCGTCAGACACTCTGATTGCGGAGCCGCAGGAATCTCAAAGAGTCTTTTCCAAAGCACCACTCGGGTTTGTTTTGCAAGCGACGCCGCCTGGATGTTCTGCCTGTTGCTAGCCGTGGTCGAGTTTGCAAGAAGTGTTTCTGAGGAGATGTGGATTTGGCCGTCGGATCCTCCTAAGTGGGGTATGAAGAACTCGACAAAGATCCAACATTTGGGATTGACACAAGCACCACCACAGGTACGGAAGAAGTACGATGTGCACCCCAACAGCGCCCTCCTCACCCCCCTGCCAGCAGGGCCGGGAGTTCAATACCAAACACTCGGGGCACCAACAGACTTTCGGGCTTTGCATGCTCCACGGATTTAGGATTCATACGTTGACAAGCTTGAAACTTTAGGTCTTGTAGGCTTAGGATGGCGTTGTCATGCCGCCACCACTGCAAGGACGGCCCATGACAACAGCATCGTTGGCGGCACGCCTGGCCTTCCGAGATTGGATGAACTCCTCTGCTCCAGCTGTTCCGTTCACCGCAAGGAACTCCACCAGGCGTCCTGCGGCTCTAAGGAACCGCACACATGCTTGGTTCGTTTCGCTGCTTTTGTTGCTGCTCTGACCGACGCTATCTTCACCTCCACGCGATCAAAGCCGAAGTCATCACGTGGCAGCTATGGTGACCGTATTGCTGTCGGTGGTGGGGACGGGGCTGGCGCGGGTGCCGGAAAGTCGCATACTCGTGTTGAATCTCTTTTACATTAGACACAGCCTAGAACCTGGACCGGTCAGGACATCCCGGCCGAAACTGAGCTGATCTGGGCTAGTGCAGGAATCTTCGCTTGAATGCCTGCAGATTCCTCGACCCTGAAATAATCGAGATCTCAAATCTCGACCGCCAAGCCTGCTTTGACTGCGACCGCGTTCCTCAGCATGCCCTCATACTTCCGCCCCGGTCTATCTTTATCTATCCGCTAGAATCTCTGCTTACTGTTGGCCGATCTCCGAAGCAATCCACGCTACAAACCGAGCCCCACAATGGCGCGGCGATCAATAAGGCTTTTTGTTGACCTCGACCCCGGTCGAAGAAGCGCAGATCTTCGGGCCCCAGTTCTGGTGAACTTGGGAGTCTCCCATGGGATGTTGGGTTACCACGACTGCTGTGCTTACAAATCCACTCGCCCTCGCCCCTTCCGACGCGAAGCGCAATGTTTCCACCCAAGTCCTCGGGATGTGCGCTGATCTTCGGGCCACTTCACCGTGGTGCGACCTGGGAGTCCGGGAGCTTGGCACGGCCGGTGATTCCTCATTCAAGCTTATATCCGGCATGATAGATTTCTTGCCTGTCTGTACAAGGTACCTGAGTTCAGAACAGCTCCTGCGTGCTTCAGTCCTGACTTCAAGTTGGACCACCCGGGACCCCGCGCAGTTCGTCAGCGCCGCGAAGCCGCCGCCCGCAGCATGGAGGCCCAGCACTGTTCCACCGGCCTCAGGATGCAAAGCTGCTCGACTGTCTCAAGTCTGTTTTCATGTCCCGGCAGTGCTTTGAAGCGGAAGCTCCAAAGGCTCATATCAACACCAGTATTCTCTTCTCTCCTCGGATAACAACCAAGCCTGGATGTCCCGACCGCAAAGAAGCTGTGTGTCCTCCTCCAAGCTGTCATCACCTAAGTCGAAGCGCAAGAAACTATGTGAACAAGTGATGAACATGTCTTCCAGACGTCCAGAGCTAATCTTTGCAGCGATGTCACGGCTCGGACGGTCACGCTGCTCGTCGCGGTTGTGAGCGCAGATCTCGCACGAAGCCAAGGAACAAGGGAGAATGTTCAGAGAGGTTTTCACACTAGTATCCCAGGAATCACGCCCCAGATAGACACTTAGATACACCCACGAGACGAATATGAAACCCACCTCACATCAACCTGTGATTAAGCCAATCCACCGATCCTGACCCCTTTCTGTTGCCAGGTTGAATGATTCCCTTTTCCCTCTTTGCTAGCAACATACCGCAACAACGTCGGAAGCTTCACAACCGTTGCAAAGCAGCTCTAGCAGCTGAGGCTCGAAAGGGAGGGATGGATGGCAACCTACAGCCACCACCAGGATGCACATGGCTCGCTGCAACGTGCATGTGTGAGTAACCCTCGGCAACCTCGGTGCATATCTAATCTAGTGTTTGCAGGCGAGTGATTGAGGAAACTCTCGAAACAATGTTACCACGTTCCGTTAGTTGCTCGGCAACTCCATGTCATTCTTTTCTATGCCGGTGATCTAGCATACTGTACGCAGCACATGCGAGCATTACGTGGCCCGGTGTGTATGGCAAGACAAGTGTGCCATCAATTTCGGGGCAGCGAGGCAGTAACAGCGCTTGCTGCAAAGTCCTTCGAGCCAAGATAACCAATGATAGCTGAACAAAGTGGCGTCACTAAGGAAACAGGGCCCTGTGGACGAAGTTGGGGATTTGGGGTCTCAGTGACAACGCAGAAGCTGCTGGTAGCCTCGATACGATCTGCACACACATGCGTTCGTCCTCCAGCACCTGCGCAACAGGCAAACGATCTACGAAATCTATCGATACATAGCCATACAGGGCAAGATCAGTGAGGCACAAACGCAGCAGGACGGGAGATGCTGACAAGAACAACCGGCAAGGATGCCATCATCATGAGCTCATAGAGGACAAGTCATCCGGTATCGCAATAAGTCAAGAACTCCAAGAATACATCGCTCCGTTCGTGCGAACTACCGGCAACCTCGACCCCCTGAGACACTCCCAGGTGACCCACAAAAAAAGCTACGTCTAACCAGAGACGGTTCTGTTGGAAGTTGTCAGCACTTCCAAGCTCAGAAGCCGATACCCGACACTGAGACTTTGGGGGGCTGGAATCTGGCGTTGAGCGCGCGCCAGTGCACCAGGGTGGGACAGACGTGGTGCTGCACCAGTCGGGGTCATCCGCAAAAACCTACAAGGGGGGTCTGTAGCAAAAAACGGCCTGAAAAATTTACTTGACAGGCATGGATGAGCAAAGCAACAACAATAAGCTCCGCAGATTGCAGGTGCTGCGTGTTGCGGGCTGTGAAGTCTCAGTCAACCAGACCGCACCAACCAGACAGTGAGAAGGCAAAGAGCGAACCTGCAAAGCACACCGGTCGACCGTCTGGTTCTCAAGAGGAAAAGAAAGAGGCGACTCTAGAGCAATCTCATGTCGCCGCCTTGAGGTCCTGACATGTACTAAACAACATACATTTCCCATACATCACGCATGCAAACATCGGCATCGGACGCAGCCTTCAAGCTCTTGGCATGTTTTCAAGCGACAGGTGCATCGGAGCAGCTGCGTGGAGCGGCTGTGGGCGATTGCAAGGCGCCCGCTTTGTCCCGGCCCCACTTTGACCTTGGGCCTCCGAATTATCGGCTCATGCTGAGCCGCTCAGGGTTCTCAGCTTGTTGGCTGCGCCTCGGCGCTTCTTTGGCAGTGTGCAGTGAGTCCGCAGTTCAGCTTCAGCCAGGCGACCCCTCAGCTTGGACATCAGGTTCTTAGCCTTCAGCTTGTTGAGGAGGCGTCGATTCCTCACTTGTCACGTTGCGGCTCCCGGAAGACTGGGGTCTGCCAGAGATGTCCTCTTCTTCAGTTTCTGCGAGCGGAATGCTTCCATGAAGAAGGGATCCTCGGCCACAGCAGCGAATCAGCGACAGCTTCAGTGCCAGCAAAGCCTCGCTTGCTTAGAGGCTTAGCCCTGTTGGCTAAGTCACATCCATGTTGGCGACGACTTCTTCAACCTCTGCTGCGTCCTCTTCGGTGAGCTCCTCCCGCACCTCCTGTGAGCTTGAACAGGTTTCACTGTACACGTCACTGTAAGTTTCGAGCATAGTGGAGTCTGCAGCTCCTGAATGCGCCACACACCATCCTCGTCTTTGGCATAAATCAAAGGCACCTCGTATTCGCGAAGACTCGTTGACTGACTGGGCGACTTAGGAAGTAACCAACCAACCAAACTCATCGAATGCGTGGCTTAAGCCTGAAGATCATGTTCAAGCAAGTCACATAAACAGCGTTCTTGAACATGAGCATGCCGTAAACAACCTCATCAGCAACTCGAGCATGCTTGTTCGTTCCGGCTTCTTCCGATTATGAGTGAGCAAAATGCAACATTCCGAAAGGGCCCGCGCAGCTCCGATTGCTGGGATCATTAGCCAGGAGCCCAAAAGGCCAGGGTGCCTGAGTGGAATGGCGGAAAGAACTTCTCGCGACAAGAGAAAGAGGTTTTGTCAAGCTGCCATGGCTCGGCCAAAGGTGGGAGAATCGCCAGAAACCAAAAGCACTTTCCCAGCAGCCACCTTTCACAGCGCTTAAACTTAGAGGTTTGCCAAACACTGAAAACGAGGCACGGTGCCAGACAAGTGAAGGACGCTCCCCCCCCCCCACCCCCCGCCCAGCTTCTATCGGTACGACTGCCAAGATTCTGCAAGCCGGTGAGTGGCACACGGCTAGTTCGTTGATTGAACAGAGGTACGATGCAGCAACGAGAGCGGCAGCACCGCTCACCACGACCACCACCGGCAGCAGCAGAAGCAACCAGCAGCAGGGCAGCATCGCTTTGAATTGCGCAAGTGCAGAGTGATCAAGATTGGCTTCCGGCTCCGGCTTCGTGCTGTGATGGCACGTGTGCTGAGAACGTGGCCGAAGTGCGGGTTCGTCCGAGGAGTGCTTTCTCTCTGACATGTCCAAATTGCCGCATGCACTCATGTATTCTCTATGCGGAATCATGCTGCTCGAAGATGTCACATGCTCAGCGCAGGTGGCATCCATGTGGTGGAAGCATCCTAGCATCAGGTTATCTTGCGCGAGTAGATAGTGTGTTCTGGTTCTCTTGCTACCTCCATCCTTTGCTTACTCGTCTTCGGTGGCTGAAAGACTCCAGGAGCAGCATTCAACTCGCCTGTGTCACCGTAATCGTGAACCAGAGAACTTTTCGAACGGGACCAAGATTGCCATCAAATTTCCAGATGAGACGCATGAGGATCATCTTGAGCGTGTCGCACAACGTTCGCGCCAGCGCAGAGATGTGCTTCAGGATCATGATGTGGGCCACCTTTGTGGGAGCTGCAGCCGCTCTCCTCCTGGTGTCCAAATTGAATCTGCCGGCCAAGGCGCGTCTGAAGTCAAATGCGATGAGACGTTGAGGATGAGGCAAAAGGCGAGCGCAGGGCTGGTAGACATCATGTATAGCACGTCCTGGTGCAAGCACAAAGGGCCTGAATCAGGAACCCTTTTGCGAACCTGACGGTTTTCGCGTGTCTGTGTTGCAGCTCACGGCTCGTAGGGATCATCGAAGGGACGGCGCCCTCCGTCTGGAAGATCCACGAAGATGCTGCGGGACTTGTACATGGAACCTCTCAGGAACGAAAGCTACTCCCTCACAGAGAGAGAGGACAGAGGGTTAGGATGGGCCCCAGGGGGAGAGTCGTCTCGTCTGCCAAGTCGCAAGCCGTGAGGAAGACCCCAAAGGTCGCCTGGGACAGGAGCCAAACGCTTCCAGCAAGGCTCAGGCGCCGTCTTAGTCTTAGACAGCCCAAATCAAGCCACAGTAGCTACTAGACGGTGTCTAGTTTAAGACTCTAAACTGTGTTGCCACTGCTTCGAGCCCAGCAACAGACCAGCTGAGCAAGCTGACTGGGTTAGGCCAATATCGGCGAACAGCAATCTCCTCCAGGATGCAAATCTGCAGCCAGGCACAGTATGGTTGTGCTCTTTCCAACGCCCTAATCTCTTCGCAATCTCTCCAGTCTTTCTGGTGGGCTTTGGAGAAGTGTCGCGATTGCCGGGTCTGGCTGGCCGCTTTGCGAAGAAAGCGTTGGAATCTCTGGAACAGTGGAAGCCTTCGGCAGAGTTCTATGAGCGAATGCTATGCCGAAAGCCTTTGGTATGGAATAGTGCAGAATATATCACCATTGAAACACAAAGCCCCAGGCAGCAGGCGCATGCTCCCAGCCTTGTCCAAGTTGGACAAGACTGGGAGCATGCGACGGCTGCTTGGGACTTTGCTTGGTCTTCTCACAGCTTATGGAGAAGGGGGTGGGCTTGACTGCCGAGCGGGCTTTCTACTGCCTTCTGCCAGTTCAGCGGGTGGATATTCAGACCCGACAATGCCAAAAAAGTCGGAAACTTCTTGTCAGTACCAAGACGAACTCTGTCAGCACGGGTGGTCTTGGGCTTGGTCTTGCTTTTAGCCAGGCTTTCTCTACCCTGTGCAGACCTAAGAAAGCAGCTTGTCCTGGAAGATTAGCATCATCGCGTGGCAGAGTTCAGACAGCAGCAAGAGCCTGGTACGACTTCGTCACATTACGGAGAATCTAGGGAGCCATGCCTTGTTCCTGCCAAGGTGCATGGGACCTTCCAGATTGAGCTCCTGCTCCCCTTTCTTCTTTCCGCCCTTACCTCAGAGGACAGTCAACACATCGACGGGAAATTCTCACCACCCGCACCTGTCTCCCTGCCAGCTCCTTCAATTTGTCCTGATTCTCTCGCTGTGCCCTCCTCGCTTTCATTCTGCTTTGGGCTGCCATCTTCTAGGCACAAGGCTTTTAGGCGTGCGGCCCTTCCCTCTTTTCGTTAGCAGGTGTGCCAAAAAATATCCGGAAGCAAATCCTTCACTACCATTCTTTCATTTCACCGTTGGGCAGCATTCGGGGTTTCCTAATCCTTTGAACTTTGGACGGTCCTCCGCCCTTTTGTGGTGTACTTGTTCCTACCCCTTCCTTGCAACACCACGATGTGGAAACAGAACCTCCTCGTTTCCGTTCACTTACAAGGTTTGCCTCATCAGCACATCTTCTTTAGAGACTTCCCTGTGTACTGTTGTAGAGACGTTCTGTTGGTTCAAGAAGTTAACAGCTGACGCAACAATGCACTGGCTCTGTCGTGCGTGCGCACGCAAGGCCTCTTGCCAGGCCCTTCGACTATAGAGGCCGGGGCGCCTTCGGCCACTGTTGAGAGCAGCAGAGCAGAGGAGATGACCAGAAGGGAACACCACCTTGAGATCCAACCATTCCAAGCTAGCTACTACCATGAAAGCGCGGATACACACTGGTTCACTTGAAGCCAAGTCCGCCACTGCGGAGCATTCAGCCTGCGCCTGGGTTGCAACACATCGTGGCCGCGCGGCGCACGGAGGGAGCCCTCTCTCTCTCTCTCTCTCTCTCTCTCTCTCTCTCTCTCGCTCTCTCTCGTGCTACGCCTACAGGCGGCTACGGCCTCCTCCTGCTCTGGTTTCGGCAAGGCACCCTAAGATAATGACGGACATGATGGCCATGAAAACTGCCTTGGAGCTTTTGAACACGACCTCAGTTGCCAAGCCCTACATCTTCCTACGAGTACATCGAACTCGTGCATGAAGCCCAGGCACGAAAACCGTCGTGGGCGCTCCGTACAGCAGTCCCAGGCTTGACAAGGTTGCCATCAACATCCTTGGAGGAGCGAGAAGCAAAACGAACGAGTCTGTCTGTTGCCACCAGACGGATCCAAGAAGCTCGAAGGTCGTGAACACGACCTAAAAGGCACTTTTTTCTTGAAGCCCCGTATTCCACGCAGGACTCACGCACGACCATTGCATGCCGTGCCACCAGCAGGACCCATGGCATGAGGTGATCCAAGATCGTCTTCGGCGTCTGCTCGTCGTCATCGTCGTCGTCCTCCTCCTCGACAGGTCTAAGACAGCGGAAGCAGAACCAGAGCCTCCGCCGCCTTTTCCCAAAGCCCCCCCCCCCCTCCCCCCCCACTGTTTTCAGTTCCCCCTGGCCTCTTCCCTGGCGGCCTTCGGCTTCAAGCAGGTCTTGATGGGGAAGAGAAGGACCTTCAGAAGGAAGACGGTCATGGTCAAGCTGAGCGCATACCTTGGGCTGAAGGCTCCCGGAGCATTGGGGGAGAGGGAGAAAGAGCTCTGATAGCTTCATGTGTTCTTAACATTTCTTAACTTCCAACCGCAAGTCAAACAGAAGATCAGCCAGTCTTGCTTGTCTGATGCTGCCTCTGGCAGCTTGAACAGATCACCTTAAGCCTGCATTCAAGTCGGCCTTTCTTGCGATGCAAGATGCAAGTCTGTTCTGCCAAACAGCCACCCCCGCCCCCATCCAAAGAAAACTCTAACGTGTTCGAGGCACACGAAAAACACATGTCTGGAGGAAGGGCTTTTGAGGAACAACGGTAGCTTCGGCGTCATGCAGATTGGGATGAAAGAAAAGTAGGGCTTCCCAGGAACGAAACCAGAAAAACGGAAAAGGCTGCGGCTGCAGGATTCATTTCGTGTGCGATGTCGAGGCCGGGTGAGCGATGGGGAAGGGTGAAGTTCATGCACAACCATTCGCAATGAGGCTTTTGCCGGTTGGAGCAGAGGCCCAACGAAACCTGGCCTATTGCCGACCTTAGCTCAACAAGACCTGAAATTGTTTGTCCCAGAAACGTGCTGGAAAGAGACCTCCACAAACCAATCCCTAGAGGCCCCCACAGCAGTCCCTGCAGTGCTGTACAGAGTCAGCCCGTCAGTCTAAACCGCAAGGTCGAAAGACCGACCCCAAATATTTGAGCCTGACCCTAAGCAAGCCACAAAGCCTGAACACTCAACAAACAACTTCAATCGTTGAACACTCCTCAGCCCCAAGCCCTTTATCAGCTCCACAAATGACACTACTCTCCCTCACGGAAATTCTGGCGACTTCAGCTTGATATTTCCGAGGCACCAGGCCTCCTATACAGCTGAGCAGCGAGAACTTGTAAGGGTGCCCATGATCCCATCGTCCAACGGCCTCCATGTGAAAGAGGCATGACTTCGTCCTCAGCATCGCTTCGGGAATCGAGAAGAGCTCAGCAGAAAAGCAACAATAACAAGCAGCAAGCCGGGACCTACGAAGTTCCTGAAAGCTTTAACTGTAAATGCTGAGTTTGCTCCAAGACACATTGACATGAGCACCCCCAGCACCGTGATGACCTCGGATGCGACTGCGTGTACACGTTTTGGTGGAGCTTATGCTCGCATCGGAGGACCCGTATCATGAGGTCTACTACCGTTGACCCCTGCTACCACCACCTCAGTCCCAGCTCCGCATTTGTAAGGCGCGAAATCAAGCAACTCGTCTACATTTACAGCGTCGTTCGCAGAGCTGGCACCGCAGTCACTGATCCTCTTTAGTGGCCTTTGCTGATTCGCGCATGGATTGACCTGCCCTTCTTTCAGCCAGCCCTCAACATGATTGCCAGAACATGTCTACTCGGGCTTGACAGGACGCTTACCGCACTCCGGCAAACCCGTTGAGAACAATCCTCCCTGCGATCGGAGCTCTGCGCGAGCTCTTCTGAAAGGAATCAATGCAAACGAGCAACTATGATGATGTTGGTGATGTATGCCTTGCACAGCAAGTGTCCGATAGTTGCACTGGTTAGAGCGTTCTTGCCCGCGCACCTTCTTCTGAGCTTCGTCTTTCAAGCTTCGCATATACTTCCTAGGTGACTCTGACATGCTCCGAATCTTCTGCGCGTGGATCTGGGAAAAACAGGAATCAGCCGAGTGTCGTGTCTCGGCTCCATCGGATGGCATGGTTCTTCACCTCAGCATAAAGGCATGCCAGCGCATCGCAAGAGTCGCACACCAACACCAAAACGAGCCCAGTGGCCTTCACCATCATCATGACACCTTCGCCCGTAAACAGTGTAGGCGCAGATGTCTAAGACTGCGCACATCTCTGACATGTAAGCAGGTTTGTCCGGGCGCCCAACCGCGAGCTGTGCGCCAGCGGGAACCCCCGGAGGGCCCATGGGATGCCTTCAGCTAAGGCATGCTGAAGGCTGTACACAGCCCGGGTCTTCAAAAGTCTGAGGGCCCTGCTGACAAGGCCTCAGAATTCTGAGGACTCTGAGGATCATGACCTGCCGACAGGTTTTGCATTCCCATGCTGTCCTGAGAACGGCTTAAGGACTGAGCCGCGGGCTTAGCAGAGGCTCCGAAGGCTGAGAGGCCGCCATCGACAGCGAGGCTTCAGCAGGGAACGCTTTCGATAGCAGCTAAGGAAAGGATGTGTTGCGCTCAGGTAACTTGGTGTCGCGAGTCCTCTTGCTCTCCTACATGCACTGTTGATATCGGAGGGGGCTTCTTGCCAAACATTGCTTGGATGAGAGTCAGGCGTCAGAAGCTCGAGAGCCCAGATGCACTTTGCTCGAAGCACTCTCAAGACAAAAGGACAGCACTCAGCACTCTGGCAGGAAGGGGCAGGTCAAGGCACCTCCGGCTCGAAGCGCTCGACGGAGGGAGTCGGCTCGAAGCCTGTGGCCGTCGCGTGGCGTCTCACGCTCAAAAGAGCCTCAGCTCTGTCTCAGCTCCGCCTGGGCCCTTCTTTGGGGGCCGCCAGGGCTCGAAGAAGGGCTCCCGGGCCGTGCGTCGCCTTCCGAAACCGGCTGTTGCGTCAAGTTGTATCCCCACGGACCCAGGCGGCTGAGTGCTGGGCAAAATCTCCACGGAATGCTCAGCAAAACAAAGGACACGCCGATCGACCTGCAAAGGGCCAATCAAATATTCTCCGACACGTGGCTGCCAACCTGTGCTTTTGTTACGGCAAGCAAAGCCGACCATTAGATCGAAGCGTGTTGGCAAGGAAGTATCGACTCTGTGAAAAGCGTGCTCACCCGTGACAAGACGATTTGCCGTCGACCCCAAGTTCGACCAGGCAGATTCCAAAACTGCACAACACAGGATGCTTGATCGGGGTACACCCACCAAGACCGGACACGACACGGCAGCCCCGGCCCCGACCTCCTCCAGCGTTGGGCGGTGCTGGCTTTCTCCTGGTACTTTGGTCATGGAAGCTGGCACTTTGGAGTGATGTCAGCTCCTGCGAGCAGGGCTTCCTTCAGGACCGACACATGCACCTCGCTCAGGCGAGACGGTTTTCATAGCCGCAATCAGCGACATCTGCCACTTGGCTCTGCACGAGCAGAGTGAGCGAAAGTGCCGCAGCCACGTTCCCTTCCAGCGGCAGACCTTGGGACTGATCGAAGTGTGGCAAAGCCGACCTGGTGGCCCCCCCGCCAAGCCACGCAAGTTCCAACAAAAACACATCGATACCGTTTCGATCTTAAGTCCTGATGGGTAAGGAACCCCCATCCCAAGCCCACGAAAGGATGCGAGTCCCAAGCCTTCGTTTATCTGGGACAATCTACGAGTCTACACACTTAACAACCGATCACTGCATGCCTGGTTTGGGAAGCGACGGTGGTGGGCTGTTCTGGGGCACTGGGCGGCACTGGGGCCTCGCACTGCTTTTCGCAAAGAGGAAGGCCGCCTCTGCGAGCTCCTGGGGCCGCCAGGCACCTGCTCGCGAGCAGAGACGGCGGAAAACAAAAAACTCTCTTCTTCAGTGCGCCCCGCTTCGGACGAAGCCGGGCCGAGGAAGCCGCGGCCTGGAAGGGGTCGCTCTCCACCGAAAAAACGGAGGCGCTTTGGGGACCGCCCTTCCATGGCATGGGGGCCCGGCACCCAGTCGCGCAGATGGTGCGGAGGCCGGGTCTTCACCTGAAAGGTCCCAATGGACATCGCGGCTCTCAGAGCCAAAAAAGGCTTGCGCGACTTGCGCGGCACTGGGCTGCCGACTGCTGGGCCCAGGATGAGCACGGTGACCTGCAAGGAAGGGCACAGCGCCCTCACCCGTTTTTACAGCAGATCTACTGTTGCCGATGCGGCTGAGGAACCATCGGTGCAAGCCTCAGCAGGCGGCTGCATCTTGCTCTTTACTTCTTCCGTAAACATCCGAGTTGCCGGCATCGAGAAGGCTTCCGAATTCCACATGCCGGCGTCCCCTGACGAAGCTGCACTTTCGGCGGCCTGCCTTATGGACCCTGTCGAGGACCTGCTTATTCTTCCGAACCCCAATCTGAAACATCGGAAGTCTCAGCGAAGTCAATGGCCTGCAGCTCGAAGCACGGACAGCGGCAGCCTGGCGTGGCCGCATGCTCGGATGCGGACAATTGGAAACTTTTCACTAGATGCAATCATCGGCTCTAGTGACACTGCACCACCCATCTCGCACTCTGCCATGCATCTGAATCGAAAAGTCGGGACGAGGGGCTTTCTCTGGCCTCAGTCCGGGCGGTTGCAGGAAGGGTCCGTCTCGAGCTGCTTGCGCGGCCGCGACGAGGAACTGGCGGAGCCTTCGGTGCCTCGGAGCGATTGGCCAAGGGGCTTCTCAAAGGCCTGCAGCCTGGACAAAGACCCTGCAAAAAACGCGCTTTCTTTCCGCCACTGGACCGGCGCCGGCTTTGGGCGCAAGCTGGCGCAAGTTGCGATCGCCCGCTGACCGGCTCGGCTCCAGAAGGGCTTCGACTCCAATGGAGGCTCATGCTTTTGGATGATGCCTTCTCTACTCAGGATCACAGAGCTCAATCAAAGAAGCCTCAGGTCACCAGGGCACACCAGGGCACTGCATGATAACTGCGGCACCCTAAACCCTAAATGTGCCAAGACACGAGAGCATCTAAGGGATCCTCCTCCTTTCCGGACCTCATGATTTGAGGGATGGCCACGGGCTTGCCGCGGGCATCCGGAGGTGCATAAACTTGTTCATATTTTCATGTTTAAACAGTGTGGCACCCTACTGCATCACATCTGCAGGCCTCACCAAACCTGTGGAGCTGAGCTCCTCCCATGGTGCAGCTTCGGCGATCCCCGATTCACTGATATATCCTCCAAATGAATTTCTGCCAGGTTACTGAATCGCAAGGAGCTAACCCAATCAGTTCCGAAGGTGTCTTCACGTTCGTGTTCGTGTTCGGTTCAATCTCTCGGTGCCCAGCCGGACAAGGGCGACCTCCTGCAACAGTGCCGCCTCACACACCCAGGAGAATCTCTGGCACAGCCACGCGAGTAAAAGGTTTGAGTAAGACTTACAATCATCACCAAGGCTGCAACGAAGTCCAACACACCGATTTCGGCGTTGTCGTCTGGGCCGGCACCAGGGCACAAGGACAGTCTGAAGCGTGTCTCGAAGCAAAGCTGACAGGCATACTTCCTTTGCTACCAAACACAGTTGCAAAGGGTTCACTGTCGCACCTTCGGAGTGGATGTCTTGCCTGGGCACAGCTTGCAGTCATTCGACACTGAGGCGGAATTGACATTGCAAACACACCCTTGGTCCACCCGCCTGTATCCCTGGTGCTTCCACTTGGTCACCTTACGCTGCTTGAGACGCAGACACAGAAGAACCTCCACAAGATCATGGCGTGCAACATGTGATGTTGCTGCTGTCGAATTCAAGGAGCCAAGGTGTCGAGTTCATGTGCTGCGAGACCAGCATTGACGGCATTCGTCAGTGCACGGCGCAGCCCTGAGGTGGTAAATGCCTCGGCAGGAAGCGCACTCCAAGTTCCACTTTTCGAAGAGAGGTATCGAGCAGATCACCGACACGATTGCAACATGCAGCTGCTTTGCAAGCATTGCATAGCCAACCTCAGCTCACTGCCTTCTTGGCACCACCAGCCTCTTGAAAAATCCTGCAGCTGAAACACTCGGACCAGTTCCAGGCTGTTTAGAAGCAAATGCCGACGATTTTCCCGTCCTTGCAACCGCCTGCAAAGTCTCTTGGGCTTCTGAGGGACTGTAGCCTCGGATTTCCAAAGGAATCATGAACATAGCCAGCTCTGCGGGCCTACACGAATGCGACCCAGAAGCGGTCAAAGTCCATCCTCACTGACAACGATTCAAGGCGATTATGAACTGAGCAAACCTGAGAGCACCGGCCAAACCGCACACCGAGGGGGTCCTCATGAAGCCTTCCGGTGGCACTGCGAGCTCGCCGTCTGCGGCTGCTAGGCGAAACGCGCCCTCCACAGCTAAACGCTTCACTCGCACGTCCTCAGCACACCGGCAAGCTTTTCATCGCACGAACTCTGGGGAGCGGAATCGGGCTTCAAAATGCAAGTCTCTGTCGAGCTGAAATACATCATGCAGCTGGCTGCGGACAGGCTGCCACTTCACTTTGTACATGGCAATGGTCCTGGCTGGAATTGCTGCTGTCTGACACCACAAAGCACGGACAGCGTCCTTTGTTAGCTGTGCGACGGGACGCCACAAACCCTAGAAGTCTCTTCGTACCATAGCCGAGGAGCCTCGCCATCCATATCTCTGCAAACACAGCGCCTGCACTCCGTTCAGAGCATCTGTCTCTTCGGACTGCGCCATGTACTGTCCCGAGTCAGCAGCACCCAAGCCTTGAACCTGGCGGCGCATCCTTTAGACGAACTGGGTTCGAAATTTCCATAGAAGGTCTCGCATTGACCTGTCAGAGCAAGCATGGCTGTCTGGCTACACCACCCTGGCTGCAAGTTGCATGTAGCACCTCCAGCAGCCAGGGCTGAAGGCTTTTGTCCAGCAGCACCTTGTCGACGAGTCAGCACGTCTCTTGACCATACGGGGCAGAATATGTTTTCGTTGCAAAATCAAGTGTCGGACATCTACGCCGAGGATCTGAAAGCAGTTCGGAGCATACCTTGAAGGAGCTGCTTGAGAATTCCAGGCGCAGCTGAGACGTAGCTTTGGAATCAGGCTCACCAATGGCCGTTGCTGGAGGCATCACATTGTAGTTTTCTAGTTCGTTCGCTCGAAAGTGCAGACTGCATGAGGGAGTACTCGGGACCACGCTCGTCATCAGCCTCCTCTGCGTCCTGGCACAAGACCCTCCCCACTCGAGTCTTTCGACGGTCTGGAGTCTGGACCATGCTCACAAGCGCTGCCAGACCATGGCCCACGAATCGCGCACGGCACGGGCATCAAAAGATTCAATGTGTCAAACGCGAACTGCTGTTGGGCATTTGGCTTAGCTGAATCTATGCTGCTACGGGCCGCACCTCCTCCTCGTCATCTTCCTCCTCGGAGACTTTGCTCTTTTTTGGGGACTTAGACTTGGCCTGGCGAAGAACTGTTATGCAGGCACGTGAACAGAGCAGCTGGCGGGAAGTGCATACTCCGCCGTAGTCAGCGCTGATTAATGGCTACCGTCGCCATCTTGCCTTCTTCTTTCTCTTCGGCTTGGCTTCTCTGGCCACTCGATCATACGTCACCTAGGCCAGCGAATCTTCCCACCACATCTAACAGTTGTGCTAATACCTGTGAGCTGAGTCCCTGGATTCTAGCCCGTGCGCATCTGTTCACCAACTTCGGCTTCTGCCCAACACAACCGTGTAAAGCTCGGGCGCCTTCAGCACGGGAACCATGGCCTGGCAGGCCAAGCTTTCAGGAATCCATCTGCGGCGCACCTGAAACGCACCTGCAAGAGCACAGCGCAGACCTCTTCGAAGGCAGCGTAGAGCTTCGACTGAGCAAACCAGAGAACGAAAACACAGCCCACGTGAAACGGCTCGCTGACACATGGACAGGCACATGCACATGCACAGGCACCTCATCGAAGGCGCGGCCTTCGCCGGCTTCTTGAGCTGCTATCTGGCTCAGCCTCAAGGCACCCTCCAACCGTACCGGAACAGCCTGCCTTGAAAAATTGACGACACGAAGAAGATCGAAAAACATTACATCCAAAGTGAAGTTAACTTGAGCCTGCGCCCAAGAAATGCCTGTGCCGACACTTAAAGTAGTTGCCTTAAGGCCCGGGTTCTGGCGACACTGACTTTCCGGGGTCACCATGCTTCCTACATCTCGACAGCATGTGCAAGAGCAAATTGCATTTTCTCAAAAAAAACCACGGTACCCAGTCGACAGAAACACTAATAATACAAAAGCTTTGTCACAACCCGTATTGCCTCCGAGCGACAATGTGCCAAGCGGCCTCTTGCTCGCCTGAGTATGCACGTCGAAGGGATCTTCGTCCTGCAATGAACGCGAGGGCGCCCTGGTTTTCTCGCAGAGCGAAAAGCCCCTCCTTGAACAAGGTCGACCTGGGCTCGGCCGAGCCACGTTCCAGTTGAACAACGAAACATGGTGAGGAGGAGTAGAAGTAGTCGTCGTGCAGCAGCAGCAGCGGCAGCAGTGGAGCACCGGTGGTGGTCAGCTAGAGCAGCAGAAGGGGAAGAGGAGGAGCAGAAGGGGGAGGAGGAGGAGGAGCAGGATTGAGGAGGAGCGCACGGTCAACAGCAGAAGTAGTCTCGCATTCCTCTCAGTAGTTATGAGCAGTTGTAGTGGGATGATGATGTGCCGTGCGTGTTTGCCGGAAACAAGCTACCCCACATCTTTCTGTAAACATGTTCGTCATCATGATCATGAACATGATCATGCCCAGGAGCAGGATCAGGATGAAATTCATGATGATGCTGATGCTGATGCTCATGCGGTGGCGGCGGTGGTGGCCGGTCATTCTCATGTAGACTCCTGTAGATTATGACGATGGTGGTGATGATAATCGCAATGATAACGATGGCATCTGCTACTTCATGTAATTTAGTATTGCAGCTTGCTCGTGTATGATATCGTACAACGACTCAGTACACACACGTGCTTGCGTGAATGGACAGATGGTCCAGGAACCCACCTATGCCTGCCTCGCCCAGGTTCAACGAAGCGTGGAACGGTACTGCAAGCCTATGACAAGGAGATGTAGAGGACTCTGCGCCCGGCAATGTTTCGATCATGTCGATCGCAAGCAGCCATTCTCGTCCGCTGACGGCGGAAGACTACGAATGGAGCCAGATGCGCAGAATAGAAACAGCTGACACGGGCAACAGTGCACAGAGAGCCAGCGGCCTCCAATCAGGAACATCCCTTCAGCTGTAGTGGGATCCTGCGTGAGAAAAAGGTCCCATCCGTTTTTCTGCAGCATTGGCCTACCTACTCCCTAGATCCTAGGCCCCCAAAGCGTTCACAGTCCACTGATGTCAGAATTCCAGGCCTGTGGGAGGAGCGCACAGACCCAGATGCGATCGTGCAAGAATTGTTCAGCCTCCTCCTCCGCGCGGAGAGGATGATTCCCGCTAAGGTAATCATCTAGTTCGGCAACGTTATGGGAGCCGGTGCTCCGGCTGTCCGAGGGACAGCCCGGGAAGCTGTACGGATCGAGGGCGTCAGGAAGTACGCCGTCGTCTGCTTCCCCTTGCGCTGGGCGCTCATCCTCCATGGCCGGCTGGCTCACGAAGGTCTCAGCCCCAAAAGGGGTCTGATATGTTGAAGTGCTGCGGCGTGCTCGGCTGAGCGTCTGGGTTTAAGGGAGTCTCCGACTTCCCCTTTCCTTTTCCTTTGCCTGTGCACGTTGTGCTTCTGCCCCTTGCAACAAGCGCCGTGGGGACGAACCTCCACGGGCTACTGGGGCTCTGGTCCATCACTGTCGCGCAACCAGTCGTGAAAAGGTCGGGTGGGCTCGCTCTTCTTGAGCCAAAACTTGCGTCACTCGGTTCTGGAGCAATCCGAGTAGTGCTTCCACCACCTCAGAATTGAGGTCGGCAGTGGCGTCGTCAGCCATAACGGCTTGAGCCGTGTGAAGCGCCTGCTCGGTCGCCTCCAGGATGCGCTCAGCTGCGCCTTCTTTTCCTTGTGAAACCCTTGGGGTCCTCTATCCACGAATGTGCCGAACGTTCTGGAGGTACGGTGTAAAGGCACACCGCGGGATCCATACTGTAAACTTGCTCCCGCTTCTCCTGAGACACGTGGCCACAGTTTCTTCAGGCTTTGCACACGAAGTTCGCAGTGTTCGCAGAACTTCCTCGGTACGAGAAGTCTGTGCACGTAGCAAACCGATCTGTTGGGGGATTCGGTGGCACCTTCTTCGGGCCTTTCGCCTTGGGCCTTGGATTGTATATCCATTAAGCCAAGCGAGGAAGTCACGGATCTGTCCAGCCGGCCTTGGCTGCGCCATAGCCCAAGTGACGTACTCCAACTTACGGGAAACCTGCTCGTAAGTGCTGCCTTTGTGCTGTCCTAGGGTAAACCTCCTATCGCCACCTCCCCTCTGCATGCTGCTAGATGGGGCCGCGGGCCTGGCCTTAGAACCTGAACTCAGGTCGCTGACCTGACCATATTGGCGAGTGGTTCAGCGTCGTTGCCCGATGGGACATACAAGCCTCCATCGTCATCGCGCCGCGGCTGGGCGATTGCGATGGCTGGCCTTGCCTTGCGCGTTTCCTCCCTTCTGGGTAGGAAACTTACACTCTGGGGGCACCACACCTAAGGCACCTAGACTTAGCCTTAAGGGAATGCATCTTGTCACGTCAATTCCTCTAAGGTAAGGCGTGATCTCACTACCTTGCTTTACCCCTTTCCTTTGGGCTTCTTGCCCTTCTTGCGTTCTGCCTTAACGAATGCCGCAATGGCAGCCAAAATTGCAACTGTATGGCGTTGCCGCTCTCAGAGGACTCTGGGTCGAGTTCCTCTAAAGCGTTGAACGCAAGAGCTTCACCCTCCTCGAGCTCGAAATCTTGGTAGTTCTCGTCTTCTTCTTCCTCCCTCACTGCGGCAGGGTAAGAACACGTGTCGTATCCGTAGCCATCCTCGTCCCCGAGAGCAGGGTACGAGGTCTACCTTGGAGACCCGAACCAGCACCACGGGAGTAGCATAGGCCAGCTACGGTCATTGTCAAGGCTGATCAATGAAATGCAAGAACACAGGGGGGGAGTGCAATGGGTCGATATCGGGTTCGCCCAGGCCGTACGATCGCATGGTACTAAGACCCGCTGGGCTGGTCCCACCGAGGGGTACCAGCTCTGCTACCAAATTGAAATGGGCGGTCTTTTCCCAAGCACTGCGTAACTACCGGTATAGCTCAAGGGCCCTAAACAGCAGCGGTATGTACATGATGTTCTCAAGACCATGGCTTCAAAGCTTAGAGAAACCGTCATTGATTCACATCTAGCTTCCCTGACTAGTTCGGGCAGGGCGGCCCACACTCGAGAAGAAAGCTTAGCTGGAGCCGGTCGCATTTGAACGGCTTCCGTGGGATAGTCAGCATAACCTTTTCTTTAGGCATCTCGCTACTGTGCTATACTGTGCATCTGTCCTCACGCAACAAGTCTAAGTGAAGTTGCGATTCGTCGGGACAGCAAAGCACCTGAAAAAGATATGCGATGTACAGCCTGTAGGCAGTAAGCCACTGACTTCTTGTTCACAGAGTAGTTTGTGAGATGCATGTAGACCTGCAGAAGCTCATGCATGCAGCTGCGCGTCAATGATTGAATCGCAGTGTTGCACCAACCGCCTCATTCGCGTTTGCCGCGGTCGGTTCCTCATACTTCGCGGTGCAGAATCGCGCCAAGCCTTCCTGCTTGCGATTTGCAGCAAGGGCTACCACAAGATTCCTTGACGGCTCCTTGCACATGTAGGCATCCAGTGGATCCAAGGAGGTCACCTTCGGCTTTCACCAAGCTTTCCGCGACCATGGGCCGTGAAACGGCGAACTATCCGCAGAAGCCGAAGGGCAGGGTATCTGTACTTCGGGTATTCGATGTGCTATCAGCCGAAGGGCAACCACGTAGAGCCGAAGGTCGAACTTCAAGCCGTCCAAGAGCAGCGGCTCGGGCAAATAGCGCTGAGCCAGGGCCTCTGGGTGTGTCCGCTACGGAAGCGTTGTGCGGAGGAGCCGAGTCTCGGGCCCCGAAACCTGCACCGTAGTGAGCCTCGGAAGGATGATGCTGCTAAAAACGCTCGCGGCATCATCTTTGCAACATCGCGCCTTGGCAGAGAGCTTCAGCCGAAGGCTGGCTGCATCTTGCACCAGGAAGATGCCGTCGCCTGTCATGCAGAGCCCCCAAAAAGCGGCCCCCCCCCAAGCGCTTCGAAGCCACTCAACGCCGGAGCGGGGACGGGGCCTTGAGAGCCACCTTCTGGCTTCACGATCACGGTGCTGCCCTGACAAGCCAAGGGGGGAAGCAGCCTAAGGCCTTAGAGTTTCAAGCGATGTTTCACGCCTTGTGCTTGTCCAGCCACTGGCACAGCTCGTCGGTTTCGGCGGGCAAGAGCCAACCTGCACTCGCCAAATGTTGCAAAAGCAGGCATGCAAACCTACCACACATCCAAGAAGCTGTGCCCGGCGCTTTTGGGCCAAAACCGGAACTTCTGCGGCCACAACTTGGGACGAAGCTTGTGCTTTTGCCACAGCGGTGCTCGAAGGCTCTTCGCCATGCAACATCAACTGGGGACCATGCCTTTTGCAAAAGACGGAGCGCCAGTGCCATATTCACCTTGCCGGAGAGGTTTCTGAAGTCCCCACAACTCGAGCAATAAAATTTGATGACGGGGGAGAAATGTAGCAGCAGTCGGAGTCGGAGTCGGTGTGAGTCTG